TGCAGAAGCAAAACACCATTCACTTCTGGGTGTTCCGCCAACTGGAGGATGTAGCCACTATGTAGAATAACGGCTTCAACATCCCTGTCACTCATTTTCAAGCCGCGAAATCGGTACAACCCGTGCAGCTGTAGACCTGACTACTTTTGAAAGGAAAAATTCCTGAATTAAGATGATGGCGGAGTATATCGCTTTTTACCTTGTGACCGATTTTGCTTTTCAATAGGGTCAAAGCACAGCCGTTCAGTTATTAGTGCAGTAGATTACAAATGCGACTGGCCACCGAGAAAAAATGAGGAAAACTATTTATTCCATCGAACATTATTAGTACCTGAGTCGGGAGACGGTCGTTACTTCCGAAAATCACGTCGCCAATTACCGCACCCACTGTCGCGCATGGCAATTGGGTACTCTTCAAAAGATTAGGTGAAGAGCGCGGCAAGCTACTTACCGCGCGCAGTGACACCTTCTTACAGCCGAGTTCGCTTTTTGGAAGTAACGACACACCCTTGTTAATAGTGATCTTATTTTCCACACATACTATTGCCGTGTTACATAGATCTCCTTCACTGCTTGTTCAGCTTCGAAGTTCCGTCGCTTATATTTCGGCCAGAAGAAAATGACGAACAAAACAATAAGGAGGACAACGAATCCCGTCCAAATAAGAAATGGCACTGGAAATTTATCAAAATTTCTGGGCGCCTAGATAAACATGAGGATCGAGAAACAGCCATGATCTCTGCAATCGTTGGGGCGTGTGACGGAGCGTAGATTGAATCATTACTAATGTGGTTTTTTCACCAAAGATGCCATCCTGAGTCTGCGCGATTGGCGGGAAAGTCCCCATTGGCTGCGCTTCAGTTCACGCCCCTAGCGACCCACCCTATCGTTTGAGGTCACGACTGTAATGGTTAAAACTCACCGCTCCATGTTGATACATTTTTAAGTTCTGAATTTTTACTGACACACGTCTGTTCTGCCAGATCATGAGGATCAGGTTTTCCAACGAAAACGTTCGTTAATATCACAAAAATAACACCCTGGATTTGCCTGTAAAAAAAGTTGTGTGAAAAAACAGATAGCACCGATACTACACGACTTTTTCGTCGCTTATTTGTTCGAACATTAAAAATTAGAATTGCGCCTCGAAATCCCGCTGGGCCCCAATCATGCTATGTTGAGACCATGGGGAGCGCACGGTACCTAACCTGCGGTAACGAGCCACGACTAGGCTGCGTTTATACTTTGCGGCGGCGTGGCGTGAGCCCTTCCAGCCAGGGGGTGTGTGGTGTTCTTAAAAGATCTCACTTCACACCTATCATGCCTCTTGGGGAGACTCGCCTGCGGTGTTGCCTGACTTAATTGCTCTCTCACTAACTCCTGACCTCTCGTCTACAGACACAACTGAGCCAAACTGAACATGGAAAGTAGAAGGAAAAATTAAAAGTAAACGTAGGAAATATCAGAAAAACGATGTTATCATGAACTTGAAATGTTAAAAACACATTTAACCACTCACAACAATTGAAATCCAGACGTACACAACATGAAATTACTGCAATTCAAATAGGAAAAAGGGGCACGTATTGAAAAAATTCGTATTGCTTTCATCATGGAAGGTATCCCAAATGATCTGAACTTCTAGGCTCTGTAATTACTTGACGGTTGAATGTGTCTTGCGCCAAGAACTCGCTGCAATTGCAAGCACTTGTAATGTATGCCCTGTATTAGCCGGATGTTAAATTTCGTTAAATATGACCGCCAGTACTCGTTAAACTGTTAGGCATCGCTTTTGTCAACCCCAACCTTAGAGATGGTGTCGCCTAAGTCAGTATTTAAGCGGGCTGATCAGCGGAAATCTTTAGCAATGTTGTTTGTGTAACGCAGAGTAGAGCATGAACGATAAAACTCCTCCCTTTATTCCGTTCCCACCAATTCTCTGATTTTCCATGATGTCTCCGGCAGTACACCACTCCCTTTCCCTTTGTGCACGTTTTCTTTTTGAACTTCGATGCTTGTATGTCTTCGAAATGGCGCATCTCAAATCGAAGCGGAAGAATATTGTCGAAAAATGTCTAGATTTGTTACTAACACTACCATCTAAGCCTAATTTATGTGTTTCATTTTAATTCATTTTAGCATGCTTTTCATCTTTGATTGTTTCATGTGCATTCAAATCTTTTTCAAACTGTCAGTTCTTTAGTTCTATTAAAGTTGTCTGAAATATATCAGCCAGTAAATAATCACTCATCATGATATAATCGTCAAGTGAGGAAAGGTCAGGAGCTAGTGAGAGAGCAACTGAGTCAGGCAACACCGCAGGCGAGTCTCCCCGAGAGACATAATAGGTGTGAAGTGAGATCTTTTAAGAAAGTCCTACACCCAGCCAGGCGCCACAGGGTTCGATGGGGATTCCTTATAGCCGGGAATTCGTATTGGGCTGGGAAATTATTTAATTCTTATAGTTGTTCTCGCGTTTGCGCGACGTTTTGGAGGTGGGGTGTGTATCTTGCTTCTTGTTGTGGAGGGGGGGGGGTCGCTATCTTTCTGTCTGGAGTTTACATTTGGTTCATTCATGAGTTTTTTCTGTGTTATAGGTTACTATGAAGCCCGTACGATGTTACGATCGCATGCCCTACTACATACTCCCCCCCCGACACTTTTTTGCCGAGTGTTAAATTCACAATCATCAGTCAGCCAATCCAGTGTCATTCATGAAAAAGTCGTCGAGCGGGGGGGGGGGGGTCGTACCAGCCCCTGAAAAAAAGGGGTGGGTCGTAAAAGCTCGACCAAAATCCCCATCGAATGCTGTGCCCTGCTTCCAGCGTACGCCAGCGGCAGTGCTGGGGAGAGGATGCATATCGATCTAGCGTTCCCAGCGTCACCAGCGTCACGCTAGCGTTACGCCAGCGTTTCTCCAGCGTTTCACCAGCGTTTTGCTAGCGTTTGCAGCGGCAGGGGAGTAGAGACTATGTGGCCGTAAGAGACGCAGAATCGATGTGTGTTTGTAGAGACTATGTGGCCGTCAGAGACGCGGAATCGACGTATTGTAGAGACTGAGGGCGAGTGAGAGACGCGCAATCGATGTGTTTTGTACCCTCCAGCTCTCCCATAGTCTCTACTCCCCTGCCGCTGCAAACGCTAGCAAAACGCTGGTGAAACGCTGGCGAAGGAGAAACGCTGGCGTACGCTAGCGTGACGCTGGTGACGCTGGGAACGCTAGATCGATATGCATCCTCTCCCCAGCACTGCCGCTGGCGTACGCTGGAAGCGCTACGCTACGCTGCCGCAAAGTATAAACGCAGCCTAAAATTTGACTTACAAGTTTTGCCTAGCACACCCATGTCGAATCACTTAGATCTCTGATGCCGATTCGACGCCTCATGAAACGTGCCCAACGTCGGGAGTTTGCCTTTCACACAGCAGTCAGCTTGGAAGACCACGCGATCAACGTTCACCCTTCTTTAGAGCGTGCTTTACAATTCAAGCACGTTTCCGATTGTAAAGCAGTAGGCAGTGGTGTTGTGGTATGAAGTGAAAAGTGCGATCCTGACTAAAGCTCTACTTTCAGCCAGCTGATATTGTCTTGGTCAACGGGAAGGGGGGCGGGCGGTGGGGGGTGCGGGAAGGCCCTTGCTACTTATTCCTCCAATAGTTGCTTGCGTGAGTGATGGACTCTGCCGCAAGAAAACGACCAGTTTGGTAGAAAGCGAAGAGGTGGAGCATTTGAAGCCTCTTGGCAGCCTTCCTCGTGATGTCGACGTTATCGGCCGTATATTGCAGTCATGGGTAGAAGGACAGGGAACCACACCCACGCATAGGGTGGGGTAATTGATAGCATTTAGTTTTCATAGTTTTTGTTATTTTTCACTTTTTTGGTTGGACAATATTTTATGCTCATTTTTATATGTTTTTAATCTTACCCTATCATGATTATTAGCCCAGTGGATGTGGCTTCAGCAACAGGGAATGTCGCCTCGACACCCATCTCAAGTCCAAGTGGATATATTGCAAATCCAAATGCACCGAACAAAAATATAGATGTGATGACCCATCCTTCTTGGCCCTCATAGTTGATCGACACTTGCTAACGAGCATGCCGCCACACCAGCCACCAGAAATGAGAGTTTCATTGTCTGCAAAACAAATGATCGCTGTCATACGGGGACCACAAATAAGAACAATAATTCAGCAATCACAACTACGCTGCTCGAATTTTCCCTGTTTTTATCCACATATATACCAGCTATTGCTGCCCCAACAAGTCCACTCATGATAAGTAGGGTTCCCATTCCTCCACTGAATGCTAACGAATATCCCATAACACATAATGCAGGCTGTAGATTATTATAGAGGGCATTAAACAAACCAACGCCGCCTCCTGCAAAGAGGTACCATTTGAAAAGGGATCCCGACAGAAAATTCACTTGACCCAAGAGGGACAATCTCTACCGAATAGCACGTTAAGTACAGGACATCCCACGTCGGGACAGTGCGAAAAATACTCGAGTACTTCTTAGATGATTAGCTGGACACGCCGCAGCATTAAAACGTGTCCTTTCGGTTGGGTCCTGGTGCGAATGCCGCGCACGTGTCGCAACGCTTCTTCTGCAGCCCTTGCTGCGCTCAGGGTGTACCGAACCATCCCTGATTTGTTTGAATCATTTCGTTCACTGCCTCCAATAGTACTCAAGGAACCTTGTTACCAAGCTCAGTGTTATTACTGGTATTCGCAGGCTTTACTTGCCCACCGTACGTGATGAAAGGCTCCTATTTGAATACAAGAACTTCTCACGTGGAAGCGTTCGCGAGGGCAAGAGAAGTCGCGAGCCCACTTTCGTGTCGCATTGAAAGTGCACTCCACATTAGTCTTATGGGCGGGGTCGGTCAAAGTGATAAAACTAACACTAGTGCTGAACAGGACAAGTGAGATTCAGCTCAAGTAAAAACCTGTTCAAGCAACATGGAGCTTGGATCTAGAAAGAGAACTCACCTAAACAGATGGCGAGTGTCCAGTAGGTTCTCGAGCGGAAACACCGTTTCACTCCTTCCAAGAATGCCGGTATTTCAACATCGGCATCATGGGATGCAGCTACTGGAGTGGGAGGTTTAGACCTTGTGATGAAAAGAGCGAAGAGTGCCGTGATTACAGCACCTCCAGCACAAATTCCGGTCTGAAATAGATTCTACTCGGCTGACGTAGGAAACAAATAGTTCTGTCTAAAACCATTATTCGGGTCGGAAGTAGAAAGCTATGGGTGAAATGGTGGTAGTACGCATTGTCAGAACCATTCCATGTTACCACTTATCGATTCTAGAAGTACTGTGACCCTAAGTAAAAGGCCCAATATGGGGCAATGATAAGCTCGACAGTCGAGGACGCCATGTTTATCCCATCCCACTTCTTCCCAATAATCTCAATAACTACAACAACTTGGAACAGCTTGATATTGTTATGTTATGCTATGCATTAGAGCTCAGACCCCACATTGACTGTATCGGCAGATTCAGGCGTACCAACCCTCCTTACTGGTCTACTTGTCTTTGGCCACTTGCGGAATGGCAAAGAGGAGAGAGGCACCAATGAGGAAGGAGCAGTGGTTGGCCGTGTCCACCCATAGGATCAGCGTGAACTTGGCATTCAAGGAATTTCATTCGAAAAACCGTACACACACTCCCGCGGATTATGGCCCAGGCCATGTGTGAGGTAAATGGGTCTGCAACTGCAGTAACGTTTCTTCGCTCAAAAGTGCACGGGAACGGGGCTGGAGGGTACTAATATCCGGGTGCCCCTCCGGGCAAAGTCCTGAGCGCCATCCTTATCCTCCAACTGCGTCGATACCGAAATTCTGCAGCGAACACG